AAATGGGTTTTGACAACAAGATCTGCTGAGTAGGAACCAGCAGTTAACCTAAAAACTGGGTTCATTAACTCCATAATTAGATGGATTTCCTAAATTAGCTGGTGTTCTAGGACAGGATAAACCTCCCCTGCAGAGCCTGGAGAGGAGAAGCTCCAGGGAGAGCTCAGAGCCTGGAGGGGCTCCAGGAGAGCTGGAGAGGGGCTGGGGACAGGGATGGAGGGACAGGACCCAGGGGATGGCTCCCAGTGCCAGAGGGCAGGGATGGGTGGGAGATTGGGAATTGGGAATTCCTGACTGGAATAGGATTCCCAGAGCAGCTGTGGCTGCCCCTGGATCCCTGGCAGTGCCCAAGGCCAGGTTGGACATTGGGGTTGGAGCACCTGGGACAGTGGGAGGTGTCCCTGCCCTGTCCCTGGATGGGATTTAATGTCCTTCCAATCCAAACCATTCCCTAATTCTGGAATCTCAGGTGGCCCTAGAACAGGACATATAGAGAAGGTGTTTGAGCAGTCACTGCTGAGGCTCTTCCCAAGGTAATTCCAGGTTGTTTTTTTCCTTTGACACAGGGAACAGAACACCCTGGGACTGGTGAAGACTCACTAGGGATGAAAATTCCTCTCCTTGCCGGGGGTTCAGGAAATTCCACAGAACACCCTCAAAACCCTTTGCAGCACCTCCATCCACATTTGTCACAAAGAGAAAACATGATTCAAGGAACACACTTGTGCTCTCCAAATAGAGATTTTTATATAAATAGACGTAAAATTCAATTACCGGAAGCGTCAACTGCCACTATTCAAAAGAATTTGAAATTGATGAAAATTAGAATTTTATATTAAATCAAACCTACACAGCAACTAAATTAATCTTTTTTCAATATTCAGAACTTTTAAGCTTGTTAAAAGTTCAAATTCTTGCAATTTCTAGGGCAAGAATTATTTTTAAAGCCTGCTTTAAATTTCCACAGAACAAGTAAAATATTTTAAGTATTATTTCATCCTTTGTGCATCTATAACACCACATGTTATCCGCCCTTCTAAAATTCACTGCACAATTACAAATTTAAATTAAAGCCAGTGAGTTCTCAGTGGAAAGAATACAAATAAGAAAACTGAAAGAAAACCATCATCAAAACGAGAAATCCATAAACATTTGATAAATTTGGCAGTTGAAAAGAAGGCCCAATAAAAGGAAATTTTTCATACTTGTTGCCACCTGCCCGTCCGACTGCTTTGCTTTGCTAGAAAAGAGCAAAATAGAGGCCAACCTATTTAACTAAACAGTTTTTATTAAAGAAAAAGAAAAGCAAGAATCTATAAAGTAGCAAGTGATCCTATTAGTTCCACCAGACTAAAATCATACAGTCTACGTATGTGGTCCTTTCAGCCACATCTGTTATGAGCCATTTTGATACCTAAAAGCAGAGAATATTTGCCTATATTTATCAGGCACTGAGTGCAAACCAGGCTATTTCTCCTCAATAACTCCTGGCAGAATGGGTAGATTAAAAAAAAAGCAGTCAGAATGATAAAACATTTGTATTTACCACGGTTAAGGCTGAAGTACTCATCGTATTCCATGACTTTCTCTTTGAGGAATATGTAAAACACAATAAAATGCAGGGTACAAAATTAAAGGCAGCAATCTGGTAGCATAATTTAAAGATGATAAGGGAAATATCCAATAACCAGAATTGGATCTGATACATAGTAAATGTTTGGGATTTGTATTCCCCCAAATTCATCACCTCACATTTAGTGCCTGGGTCCTGAAGTTTCCTTAAATAAACTCCGGCGAATTCTTTGCACAAAACGCCCTATTCTTGACTGCTCTTTCAGCCAGAGATTGAAATGCAGATCCCAAAAATAGATCAGTCACTTATTTCAACTCCAGACCTTTGAAAATCCAAATCAATTGCCTTTTGTCATCGTCTTTATATGGAGAGTAAGAAATTTCTGCTCAGCACCATGGAAAAGCTCCCGGAGCCCTTTGGAAGAGGCGGCAGCATCGATAGTTTGAAACATCCGCGTGCTATTTCACGGGAATTTATTGACATTTTGGGAATATTCCTCCGTATTTTAATCTTTATGAGAAAGCACAGGTGCCACATAATTTACAGCACGCACTAAGCAGCTTTCAGGTTCTGAGGTTTGCCCTAAATTTGGGATTTCAGATTTGAAACCGCGCAAACTTCTCCCTAAAACCGGCGCCGCGAGCCACGCTCGGCGCAAAGCCCCAGCTCGGATCCTCTGCTTGGTCCCTCGGTAATGAAGTCTGGGAAAGGAATCACAGACACCCAAGTGGTTTGGCAACTGTAAGTGACAGAAGCTGAGCTAAATCCTCTGTTTACACTGGGGATTATCCGGGTGGATTGCGCGGCGCTCCCGGAGCCGGCGCTGGTCAGGGGACGCTGCTCCCCGTCCGCCCGCGGGGCAGGGCACAAAGCCCCGGCCTGGTAGGAAGTGACCCAGAAGGAGATGCCGAGCAAGGATTTACACAAAGCCAGTCTGCCTCAGAAAAACTCCATATGACCATTAACTGGCCGGCAGGGCCTGCCAGGAGGCCTAATTACAGCCCTACAGAGCCCGCTAACAAAAGCTGGAGAGCTTTAGCCCAGGGATGATCTGCTTTATACTGACTTGAGAGAGTCCATATAGAGCGAGCAAAAGAAAGAGGTTTAGCTTGGAAATTCTCCCAAGAGACAAAGCATTGTCGCTCAGTCTGGAAGGCCCACATGGAACATACTTCAGATGGGCTTAAACATCCCACCCTCTCCAAATTAACATTCAACTATTGCCTGCTTAACATCTGCTCGGGCACGGCGACTTGTGGGAGGTTGTCAGAGGAGCCTAAAAAGGCTCCCCGGCACCTCAATATTAAGAAATTTAATTCAATAAATAGTGAAAATATGAATTTATAGCTGGGACCAACAACTTCTGAGGAATGAAGGGTTGTATAAATCAAAACTCAGTTGTCTCGAGAATTAAACTGTTTGAGTACCTCCCAGCATTGCCCTGTTTAATGAGAACGAAATACTGACATTAATCTACACTTAAAAAGAAAAAAATATATTTAATGAAGACAGCATGGATGCAGGACTTGGAGAAAAACCTCCTCAGCACAGTATAACCTAAATATAAAAATGGCCATCTTACCCTCCTCCCCCACAGACACAGGTGAATATTTTTTATTTTACCTGCTCTCCTAATGAGAGACCAGAGTCACAATTCCCATCTCCAAATCCACCAGGGGAAAAAAATATCTCAATAATAAGAGCCTGCTTTACTACTTGCCGATTTCTGCCTTTCAGAGAAAGCAGCTGCTATTTCCTAAAATAATATCTAGGTTAAATTCTATAAGCGGGTTTTCTCAAGATCCTAAATATCTCCAGACGGGAAATTTAGATCGGGAAATACAAACAAGGAATTCAGGAGCAGCTGTGGATCCCTGGCAGTGCCCAAGGCCAGGCTGGACATTGGGGCTGGCACAGTGGGAGGTGTCCCTGCCGTGGCAGGGGTGGGATGGACGGGATTTAAGGTCCTTCCAGCCCAAACCATTCCATGGATGAAGCAGGAAGGGACTGTCCCACAGTCCCTATAACCCCTGCAGGTGATTTGGAGGCCCTGCTTTGTCCAAATCACGGAGGAGCAGCATCTCCTCAACACCACATCCATGGACAATCCACTGGGAGCACAGCACAGCTTCTTCCTCCCACTCAGCGGGGCTGGAGCCAGCCCTGCAGTGGGTACAGACATTCCAGGAGCTTATTCCCAAACTTGGGAATGCACAGAGCTCTGTGCACACCAACAACAGCTCCACTCACCATCGCTGAAGCACAGAGATAATTTTAATTATATTCAAATAGAACATCACCACAGCAGCAATGAACCTGCTGAGCCCCAGCTCCTCAAAAAGCTGCTGGTAATGGCTCAGCAGAAACTCATTTTTAAGTTTGAAGACTAAAAGGTGCTGATTTTGCAAGGAGTAAACACGCAAAAATATATTGAAACAACATTTATCAACATTTCCAGCCTCTTCTCACAGCAATTAAATAAAAATTAAATTTAATTGACTGAATGCAGGACTTGGGGAAGAAGGTGGGGAATGATCCCATAAATGCCTGTGATGACCAACTCTTAAATAAAACCAGGAAGGAACTGAATTCTGTATTTTGGATTGTAAGATACACAAAGATATTAAATCTCTTCTGTTCCTTACAAACAACCTGCAGCTTCAATCTAAGATCCAGCCCTCAGTGGTGGATATTTAAATTTAATAATGTCACAGACCTTTGATAAGCTTTGGAAAATTTTGGAGCCCAGGTCATGATGATATACAACCCCCAGTTATCTTTTGTACATCTCCCAGGTGTGAAATTAAAAAATGAGATGTGATCGATGGCAGCAGAATACACAAATTGTGCTTTTGAGGTCAGGGCTGTCACATCCATTTCATAATTACATGCTTCAAAGATTTATTAAAGTTCTGGAGAACAAGGAACGTATTGGAAAAAAGACAATGCAAAAGGCTGGATGGATTTTGGAAAAAAGAAGTACATGAACAATGTGAGGAGATTCCTCAAAACAGAGGGTTTCCAGAAGGAGGGAAAAAATACATATATATATATATATATATACATACACATATACACACATACCTATATCTATACACATACACACTTGGACTGATCTAAAACAATGCTAAAAATAAAGAAAAGTGCAAAACATAAACGACACCAAATTTTTGAGAGCACAGAATAACGTCTCAGTAGCAGCAGGAGCCAGAGGATAAACATGAGGTTTTAGTGTAAAAAAAGGCTTATTTTTATTTCCTTAAAGGGCTTTACTAAGTGCCAGTGATGATGCAAATCAATTTAATCTTAACCTGAAATTCAAGTGAGCTATGGAGAACGGGATCAGCATCTGCCAAACACAAAGGGATAAAATCCCACCTGACAGCCCAAAAACGAAGGAAAGTTTTGAAGAGTCTCATTTACTCACCAGCTGCCTCCAGAACCAGCTGCAGCCTGGCCTTGGCCTGTTCAGCAGGAGTCTGCAAGAGAGGACGGATCAGATCACACCTTGTTGGACATTCCATGGGACATCCCCACCCTCAGACAGCTCCTGCCTCCTCCAGCCACAGCAATTCCAGACTGGAAACACCGAGGGAGGGATTATCCAGGAAATCTTCACAACTGACCCAAACCCATCCCCACGGGGTGGCTGTGGCTCCACTCCCAGTCCTCAACCCCAAATCCTGCCCAGCTCCAGGGTGACCCCATCCCACACAGCTCCACAAAACGCTCCAAAACTGGGTTTAACGTGATTAATGTGGTGAGTTTTTCACACTTTTCTCTTATCTGGGGGGACTTTTCCCTCTCCTGAAGGTACTGCAGCACATCTGCTGGCTCGAGGAGCACGCTGCTGGCTGTGGCCCCACTATGCTAATGAGTGCAGTGATGTTGCACTGTGTCCAATGTGTTTGCCATCCCTCTAAATGTGAAGCCACTCAAACGTTGCCACAGTTAAATTGATACACAAACCCTATTTGTCACGGAGTTCAGAAGTTGATTATTTCTGGAAGCATCAGAGAAGTTTGGGAGGTTTCTGCCCTGCACTAAAAACAAAACCCAACAGGAATTTTTGGTGGCGTTTTGCAGCTTAGGAAACTCTTCTCAAGAGCCAAAATGGCTGCAAAAGGGGAAATTAAATAGGAAAATACAGACAAGAGCAGCTGTGGCTGCCCCTGGGTCCCTGGCAGTGTCAAGGCCAGGTTGGACACTGGGGCTTAGAGCAGCTGGGAAGGTGTCTCTGCCATGGGAGGGGTGGGAGTGGGATTTAGGATCTCTTCCAACCCAAACCATGCCATGATTCCATGATTTTAATTAGGCAGAGCTCTTTGCCATGAATGTCCCAACTGGTGATGCTTTGCATGGCCTCACCACCCTCATCTACACCCACGAGGAGAGGCTGACAATGACAGAACAATTCCTACTCCAAGAATTTACTGCTCCTTCCAATAGGAGAGATTCTGCATTAATGAAAATTAAGTGAAGATCCAGATTTTGGTTGTATAGAGAGCTATTATTTTTAGTTCAGGTTTTTGCTGCTTGCATAAATCCAGAATTATTGAGCAGAATTTATTATTATAGCTGCACTATGGATCCTACCATCAGACCTGACCACTAGTCCTGGTGGCAGCAAGAAACATCTTGAAATTTATCATAAATTATCTTCCCATTCCTTCTTCTTGCCATGAACTGATCATTGCAATCTGTTCTGGCATCCTTACTACATCACAGGAGGGGAGGAAGGGAAATATCTGCTTTTTATCCAGAACCAACCTGCCCAGCTTTAGTTTCAGAGAAGCTTTACTTGGGTTTGTGCTTTCTCCATTTCATGACAACTGTAAATTAAAAAAAAAAAACCCACCAGGATTAGTTGAGTTCAGCAAAATTTTGCAGGACAAGCAGAGAAAGAGAATTATTTGGTGTCAAACACCACCTGTGCTCACGTCTGCATGCCAACAGCCCAAGTCTTTGTGCACCTCATGCATCAGGTGGGCTCTGGCACCCCAACCCACAATTTCCTATTCCTACAGCAGTTATCCTCCACAAAACCCCTGGATCTCCAGATCCCTGGATCCCTTCTTGCTGCCCAAACAACCACCACTGACTGGAGAAAGATGTTCCACGGGCAGCTTTAGGATATTGGTGGCACCACCACACCCACAAGAATTCCAGGAAAGAGCAAATACCAAGCAGGCTCCAGAGGGGGAGAGGGGAAGCAACAGCAACTTCCTTGTACTTTCCTTATGGTCTTAAGCATAACACAGAAGGAAAAGAATTCAAAGAGAGTAAAAGGAAAAATAAAAGTATTTCTAGTGCCAGCTGGTGAAGGAGCCCCAGCACTAAACAGGGAGTTCCACAACTGATCCCGCAGCTCTGAGGAGCTCCAAACCCCTTTTCCCACTCCTCCCACGGAGTTATGGATGTGCCTTGTTGGTGTAAGGGAGGGAAGACTCAAATCCTTCCTTTACTCAGCAGTTTCCCACTGGGAGCAGCCCAGGCAGTTGCTCTGGAGCATCTTCCCCTTTGCCCTGGCCCCGGGTGTTAATTACTCCAGGGGCGCCGTTCACCTTGTCATCAATCAATAAGCCCCAACCAAGGAGTGAAAGGAGGATTCTGAAATAAAGGTGACTGCCTTGGCCCCAGAAAACATCTCTCCAACTGGTGGATGAGGCCAGCACTCGGAGAAAAAAGGACAGAGGGGATTTCAGCTGAAAACCACAATTAGAGCCTCAAACAAGCCAGGAGCAATGTGTGAGAACAAGCAGCTACCCGAGGTCGGTATTGATTTAGGGAACCATTAAGTGAAAAAATTCAGCAAGAGCCTCAGGAAACTTCAAAATGGTGAAGTGATTGGTGGAGGAAACATTACCAAGAGTGGTGTCGAGCAAAATAAACCCTTGTACTTTCCTTATGGTCTTAACAGAAGGAAAAGAATTCAAAGAGAGTAAAAGGAAAAAATAAAAGTATTTCTAGTGCCAGCTGGTGAAGGAGCCCACTAACTGTAAAAGCATGAGAGGAATTCCCTAAAATTCCTTAACAAGCACACTGTAAAATGACCTGAGGTCATCCCCAGCAATGAATTTTACACGGGTCCAAAAGTGTCTGGTGAGACAATGGAATCCCAGCTCAGAAAAGGATGGTATTCCATAGGACACCATCAACACCACTGTGATTAATAACAGCTATTAATATTTCAAATAAAAATTGGATTAGATCATTCATTTTTTAATGGTAGCTGATTTATGAAGATGCAGCACACCCTTAACTTGTGTTCCTTTGCAGTTCATCCACTGCATTGCATCACTACTCCTTTCATAAATAGTCATTTTAATAAAACTACACTAAACCAGACTCAGAACTTCAAACTTAGTGGGTTTAGTGGAAAAGTGCCCACACAAGTTGCTTGTCACTCACAGCTCCAGGAAACAAGAGCTGAGTGTGATGGGCAGGAGAGCCATGGCTACCTTCCCAAATATTCCATTCCAAGGGAGATGCAGCTTCTCGATTAATTAATAGACTACAACATTTTAATTCAGCTTTAGAATGTATTTTTTAAATTATTCCTGCTATTTGGAATGAATGGTAACTTCTTGACAGAGGAAACAATATTAAAGTGAAAACTTGAGAACACTGAGGAAAACAATTTGAGAAACATGAGGTTTACAAAGAGAGTCCAAGTTTCTGCTGGAGCCAGCCACTGGGAATGCTGTGGGGCAGAGCATGTGGCTCTTGGCAGCACCGGGAAACGTTTATCCCAGGATTCCAGCAGCTCGTGAGGCTGCAGCATTTTGAGCTGCAATGCTGCCTTTCTGAATTTTTATCATTGTGGAATTTCATAGGGAAAATGTCTGAGATGTGCTAAATTGGACAGGTTCCACTCCTCCTGCTCATCCCTGACACTGCTGGGGTAAAATTTACCTGCAGGACTTTTCTGTCTCAAAACATCTGGATAAAAGCCCAACAAATTTCTGGTGATGGTGATCAGTTCTGGGGGTTTTTACACAAATCTTTTATTTTGGCATTTGACAAAGACAAATCCAGCCCTCACCGTTCCCAGGAAAACCTGCTAGCTGAAACCATAATTCCATGTTTGACTTGCAGAGAGGATGTGGGGTACCAAACCTGTTTAATCAAAACAATCAAACTCCTAATTTAAAACAGGTGAAAATTGGAAATCAAAAGCAAGTTGTGGTTGTATCTACTGTGGATCTTCTCATGTCATCTCCCCGGGTTCATATTCCTCTGGATGCAAGTGTAGGTGGTAAAATCCCAGTTTAAGAGCAAAATCCAAATGATACCCAAGGACTCCATAAATAAATAGTAATTAATAACTCCTCCTCAGAGCACAAATCCATCCTCCTGCTTTAACTCCATCCTCTCATCCCTTTCCTAGGGACATTGATCCGACCTTTCCAATGCTTGATGAGCTCAACAGAAGGTTAAGGAGAAGAGTAACAAGAAAGAGCAAACCAAACACACATTCCCCAGCTGTCTGAGGGGGTGGCTGCCCAAAACTACTGGGGATAATTCCAAAGCAGGTCAGAAACTACAGCAAATGTTTGGAATGAATTCCAGGCAAAAGGGAAGTTGGCAAGGCTGAGGATACAAGAGAAATTCCCAAGTGGAGGTAAAAGAGAGGTTTTCCCAGGGGAATGAGGCCTAAAAGAGGCTGTGGTTGGTTGGGATGAAGGGAATTGTTTAGCAGGGATAAGGGCATGCACCAAGTGAAAACACCCCATCCCATTTATACAAAAATCCAGCAGTTTGGGGTACTGGAGGCTGACAGGCCTGACCAGCTGCAGCGTGGGAGAAATGCAATTCCCACTGGGAGAACTCCTCTGCCTCGCTGCATTCCCAAAAAACAGCACCAGTTCAGCCAATTCCCAGTCTGGGGCTGGAGACCTCAATGTCAGTGAGGGGCAAAACCAAGGAAGAAATCAAGCAGAGAGGTATTTAGGTAATTTAGGACAACACCTAAAATTACATTTGAATTTATTCTGTAAGTCAGGGGCCTGCCTTCACCTGCAATATTATCCACCCCACTTCCAGCAAATCCCAACAGGAGAGAGCAACAAAGGAGCCTAAACCCAGCCAGCTTTTAAACAGAGTTTGATCAAATTATGGAAAAGATTGTGGGACAGGTTTATCATAGGAATGCTGGATTCCTTTCCTGCCATTTACTTCTCTTTGGGTGATTAAAAAAATAATTATCAAAGAAACTGCAAATACATATTTGTATAAGAAGACACTTCACAGGAGAATAAAATACTAAAACAAAAATAAAACCAAAGGAGATTGAGAATTTGCAGTTGTCATCTTTTCCTTATATAAGTCTTTGAGGGTGGCAAATTCCAGATTGACAGAGGAATGGTTTTCACACTAAAAACATAAAAAATAAAATCCCACAGAAGAATCCCTAATCTGAATTAATAGCACAGAAATATAATAAGCACATCTGGCACTATTTGAATTAAACCCTGCA